CCAAGATGGATCTTCACTGCAAAGAATGCAAATAACATCAATACAGAGAAGGACTATATGTATGTGAGTGTGTGTGTGCTGCATGGGAGGGGGGAGTGTTGAACTGGTGCTCTCTCCCTCCTCTCTCTTTCATCCATGGAGTACTTTCAAGGGAAAAAAATATATTGTTCAGAAAGATTAATATTTTACACCCCTCCACCTTGGACCACAGGGCTGTGTTTAGAAATAAGAACGATTAAGGCAACTTTGGCTTTGTTAAAATTAACATTTTGTCCATTTGTTTATGCCTCTTTCTGAGCATTTCTGTTCTCTGCCAGCAGAGTGTTGAAATACAACTGAAGGGGGGGGGGGGACGTGTGCAAATGTGGTTGATCGACTGTGGCGTTTAGTTGCATTACATCCATGCAACCCCACTGGTCTGAGTAGTGCTTTTTCAGTTTGCTGTGAATGAGAATCTGGCCCATTAATGCTATGTAAGACTCCTGGAGGAGGAGGAGGAAAAGAAGAGGAGGAGGAGGCAGAAGGTTTATACCCCACCCTTCAATCAGAGTCTCAGATTGGCTTACAATCACCTTCCCTTCCTCTCCCCACAATAGATACCTTCTGGGGTAGGTGGGGCTGAGATAGCTCTGAGAGAACTGCCCTTGAGAGAACAGCTCTGAGAGAACTGTGACTGACCCAAGGTCACACCAGCAGCTGCATGTGGAGGAGGAATGGGAAATCAAACCTGGATCTACTCCCCAAAAACCATCATTGTTTTTCAGAAGCACGTCTGGGGTTATTAGGAGGTATTAAAAGCAATTACAATGAACTGAGAGGAGAAGACTGAGAGGTGATATGATAACCATCTTCAAGTCCTTGAAGGGCTGTCATATATAGGATGCTGAGGAATTGTTTTCTGTTGTCCCGGAAGGTTGGACCAGAACCAACGGGTTGAAATTAAATCAAAAGAATTTTCGGCTATACATTAGGAAGAACTTCCTGACAGAGAGGTTCCTCAGTGGAACCGGCTTCCTCGGGAGGTGGTGGGCTTTCCTTCTTTGGAGGTTTTGAAAAAGAGGCCAGATGGCCATCTGACAGCCATGCTGATTCTGTGAAGGAAGGGTTACATCAGTGCTTAGTTCATGTGGCCCTTTCTGATCGCCACTTTGGGGTCAGGCAGGAATTTTTCTCCAGGCCAGTTTGGATGGAGATCCTGGAGGCTTTTTACCATCTTCTGGGCATGGAACAGGGGTCACTGGGTGTGTGTGGGGGAAGTATTTATGAATTTCCTACATTGTGCAGGGGGTTGGACTAGATGATCCTGGAGATCCCTCCCAACTCTATTGTTCTATTGTTCTTGTTGTGGCTCTATCCCCTGAAAAAAAGCTTTGTGCCTCCTTTGGCATATGAAATAGTGCCCTTGATCACAGGTCAATTCCTTTGTTACCCTTGGTATTACCTGATGCCAAACTATTCTGTTGACTTGCATTGCACGTTCACATCTTATGGTAAGAGTCTATTTGCGTGGACTATCTTATTTTCATAGAAGGATCCAAAGGATTATTTTATCCAAACCAGTTGCAGCCTCTGGGAGTCAATTTATGCTGTAATCCAGTGCCCCCTTCAGACCAGTTTAAATTAGAGGGGGAGAGGGCTCTTTATGTGCTTAAATGCGGCACCTTCTTGCTTGTGTGCAGAACAGGAGTCAGCACCTGCACTCAGATAATTTAGCAGGAGATTTTTGTGAAAGGCACTCATGTGTGCGGGCCATTTTGAGAACGGACGAAGCAGCATTTTGTATGGCTCTGATAGCCCAGGCTAGCCCTGTCTCATTTGATTCCGGAAGCTAAGTAGGATTGACCCCGGTTAATACTTGGATGGGAGATGACCAGTGAAGTCTACAGGTGCTGTGCAGAGGCAGGCAACGGCAAAGGACCTCCTTTTGTCTCTTACCTTGAAAACCCCTATGGTTTCACCATAACTGGGTCCTGACTTGATGGCGAAAAAAGAAGGAAGCCAACCCCAGAAGCTTTGCAGCACTATTGCAGGTCACGTGCAGAGGAAGTTGCATGCCAGCCGTCATCAAGAAGATCGTCACCTCAATCTGACTCAAGATCAAAGGCTACATCACATGCTGGAAGTACCGTGATAGGCATGACATGGGAATCCCTCTAGTGACAGTGAAACACCTCCAGTCATAGCTTGTAGTTTGGCAGGGCTGCCCAGCAGCATCCCCTTCACAGAGACTTTCACATGTTGTTCTGAGCTTGGAGTAAGCAGAAATTTTTTCTGAGCTTGGAGTAAGCAGGTTGACTCTGAAGCCCAGCACAACCAGAGACTTTGCACGTCGGTTCTTCTGAGGCCTCTGGCAGATCCGTTGGCTTTGATTGACTGATGGCATGCCCTCTCGTACTGCTCACAGCTTTAGAGCAGGTGGAAGCAGTGGGAATCCCTGGCACTGCTCTCCCCCATGGAAATGAAGACAGCATGCATAGCCTTCCCCAGGTCCACTGGGCATGCAAGAGGAGAGGGGCAGAAGGCAGCCACAAACAACAGCTGGCAGCTGAGCCAAGCCAAAATTTGTGGACCTTGCGGGTGATAGTCTCACACATTGGTTTTTCTGTCACCCATGCTTAAGCTGGGAAGCTGTGTTCTGTTCATCCCCCCCCCCCCCGGTGTTTAATTTAAAAAATCCATGTCTAATATCATATGGTGACTTTTCATGTCACAATAAACCCAAGTTTGCCATTGAGTGTATGCTCAATGGAGAATCGCAGCCGATCAAAGCCTTTTGACTAAGTAGGATGGTAGGATTAATGGGCTACAAACCTCTGTCTCTTTATCCCATTCACACATTACCTTTTTCGGTGTGTGCCCATTTAGGCATGGCAGACATTGCTGGGTTCGCCCTAGAGACGCACTGCCATTTGAAGAAGTGAGTTTGCAGCCAGGAACTCCTTTAAAATTTGTCATGGGGGGCCGATTCTTGTCCGGACCACCCCAGGGGAGAAGAGGATCCTGCCCCCCCAACTGTTCCCCTCCAAATGGCACCAGAAACATACAGGCAAATAGTGCCCCCCAGCAGGAGCCCCCCCCCCAATATTGCAATGGTCTCAACCAGAATTGGGCCCCCACAGCAAAATTTAAAGCAATACCCAGCTGGGAATTCCCTGTTTTAAATGTTATGTGATAAGAGAATCACAGCTCCAAAGATCCAAATGCAAAAGAAAAGGCAAGCTGTATGCAAGCGCTGTACAAAAGCACTGATTTTGTATAGCGCTTGCATACAGCTTGCTTTTTCTTTTTGCATTCTGTTTTAAATGATGGCATGTCCCCGGAGAGAACCCAGGGACACCCATCACATCTAGATGGGGCCCTGAATGTACCCTCAACACAGAATTGTAGATAGTCGGAAAATGTGACCAAATATGACTGTAGGATTCATGGGCTACGAACATCTGCTTAGTTTGTCCAGTTCACATGTTACCTGTTAAATTGGGGGGGGGGGAGCTAAAACCCATAATGAATTAAGAGTTCCTCTGATTTTGCATTCATTCTTAGTGCAGTGTGTGTACTGGCTGAAAGTCATGCTTAAATCTTGCCTTTTCCATGCCATGCCTTGTTTCTGTCTGTCCTCCTTGATTCCTTCTGTATTTATTTTCTTTCCTCTACCATAAACCTATTTCCCCCCCTTCTAATTCCTAACTCGACCACTGCTTTTACTATTCTTAATATTTCCTAGTGACAAAAAGTAACTGTTTAACAATGTTTATTATTCTCTTGTCATTTTTTAAAAAACCTATATAAATATCTGCATCTTCTATACCTATCTGCTTCCAGGAAAAGCTTCTGTGCCGCAGAATTTAATCATGGTGGGTAAATCCTGACTTCTTTTAATTGGCATCTCCTGTGCTTTAATCCTTCTCCTGCTTTTCATTCTTCTGCGCTCTCCATGCCAGGCTCATCTTGCCGCTGTGATCTTTGCCGTTCCTTTAATTACGGAGCGAGGCAGGCAAAGGATTTTTTTTTCAAAGTTGTGTATTATTAATAGCGCCTTGTTTAAAGTTTTCAGTTGCAAAGCAAATGTTGAATCGTCTGGATTTGACTGGGTTTTGAAATTATACCTGGGCGTGTTTTTTAAAATATATATATATTTTTTTTCCTCGTTCTTATTCCCAACAGATTATACAATGGCGCTGATTAGCAGCACCGTTTTGTAATACCAGTTAAGGCTTTATCACAGTGGAGTACTGCCAGTAATAGTCTTTAATTCACTTATATGTACCAATTCATCTCTGTCAGGCTCCTATTCATTTCTTCCCTGTTTTACTCTGCCCCTAGCTTCTGTATAATGAGGTATGATGCCCCCCCCCCACTTAAAGAAAGGGAGGAGGCGCACAGAAAACTCAAGTAAATTGCCTCTCCTCTTGACTTTTCAGACAACTGGGCCTGCAGTTCCCACATTAATGCACTTTTTATAAATTAATTTATTTAGGAGAATATCGGAGTTGCGAGGGGATATGGGGAAAGTGCCCTGATCAATTAATTCAAATACGGGGCAGAGGGGGGGGGGGAGGAGGGACTTTTTGGCAGGCATCTATCAAAATCAGTGCTTTAAATCAATACCTGTGATTTAGTACGGGCCTGTCGTAGAGACGTCTCTTTCAAAACTCTTACAGTAGTGCATTTTGATGCCATTTAGGATTGTGTCTGTGGACAGGTACTCAGGAGTCATCAGTCTGCAAATACCTGGGCAGAGGGAGTCGCTTCTCTGTAGTAACCGTGGTGGTCCTGTGGTGAAATACTTGCTTGCTTGCTCCAGCTAAGCACCAGAGCATGATTATAAAGCATCAAATGTTCCCTAAGATATTAGCTGGTGTTTGTTTAGAATGTGGCATCTTGGGGGGGGGGGGGGGGCGGAGAGGAACTGTTTCTGAGAGCTGTTTTGTGAAACGGGGTTGCTCTTTAGGGCATTGGATGTTGACCTAAGGGCTAACCTCGGTTGCTTGGTCCCTCAGGATTGGTGCAAAGCATCAGGAGCTACGGCAGAAGCAGGTGAGAACCCTGGCTGAGTATTCCACTGGCCCTGTGGGACCACCTCCCGATATCGATGACGACGAGACGGACCCAAACTACGCACGGGTGAACCACTTCCGCGAAAGGTATCCAGCAGTCACTGCCTACAGACCATCTTCTCCACCTCTTCCAGAGAGCTTTGGGTGCAGTAACCCTCCAGTGCCGGGGGATAAAGACCACTTGGAAGGACTCTATGCGAGGATAAACAAGCCGCCTCATCAGCATGCTCCTGTTGAGAGGTAACACTCCTATCCCGGAACCTATTTATGCAAGAGTGTAGTTTTGGGTTTTTTTCTTCAAACATAACAGAATGGCACCGAGCCCATATTCCATTTTGAAGAGTAGTTTTTGAGAATAATTGAGCTGCCGTTACGACCTGGTACACATAAGCACATAAACGTTTTGGCTGTTGCACTCCAAGTAGTTGTGCCACCTCAATGTGAGGTTGCCGACTCCAGGCTGGGAAATTCCTGGGGATTTGGAGGCAGGTCCTGTCGAGGGTAAAAATGTGGGGAAGGGATGTCACCTAGAATAAATGTCATTCCATACATGGAGTTTGGCTTGCCCTTCAAACTGCTGTAATTCCAGGAGATCTCCAGGCCCCACCTGCAGGTTGTCAGCCTAGCCTGAGTGCCATTACCAGTTGCAACCATAGGCTGGCAAGATGGAGACTTGACTCTGGGATAGGCAAGTGAACTGATGGCTGTGATCTTAAACTAGGTTTGTGTTTCTTAATTCCTAACATTGCAATCCTAAACAGAGCCGCTCCCTACAGTTTGGTGTAGTGGTTAAGAGCGGTGGACTCTAATCTGGAGAACCGGGTTTGATTCCCCACTCCTTCACATGAAGCCAGCTGGGTGACCTTGGGTCAGTCACAGTTCTCTTAGAGCTCTCTCAGCCCCACCTGCCTCACAAGGTGCCTGTTGTGGGGAGAGGAAGATAAGCCCCTCTGAAACTCCTTCGGGTAGTGAAAGGCGGGTATAAAAATTTACTACTACTACTACTACTACTACTACTACTACTACTCTTCTTCTTCTCCCACTGAGTTCAGTGGACTGAATGGTAAGAACTCTGCTTTTAATGGAGTCAACCTGGCACCTTCTGTTTGCACAGGGAGATGCTCTGCCACTGAGCCCCAGCCCCTCCTCCAAGTGAAATCTAGCCCCGAATTTGCCTTATTGTGCCTCAGACCGATGATCTATTATTGTCCACTCAGTCACTTAAAGAAGAGCGATCCTGATCACAGAGTTATGTTCCCTTATTCCAACGGACTACAATGCAGGCGGCCTCCAGTACAGACTACAGTACAGACGGCCTGCTTTTGCTTAAAAGGAGACCATACATTTCCTCTGTGTTTTCACCATTGCCGTTCTCACGGGGTCGCCATGAAATCAAAATTGCTCTGAAAAAGGATTCCTGTGTGGCACACATTGACTGAACTGACCCGCTTCCAATCCAGCCGTGGCGCTACCGAGTGAGCTGTTTTCTTTTCCCTGCTTGGAAGCAGTTGTTGTTCTGCAGTCGCTAAGACTGGAGCGTACGGATTGCTTTTTTGGCCCCCACCACAACCGCTTGGTGCCCATTAGCAACCAGTGTTTGGAGCACATGCGGTGATTTACTATGTATGCTTACAATTTACATTTCCCCCGTTGTGTGATATTACGCGCTTTCAATTAGGTTGGAGGAAGGACCGAGAGCCCTGGCACTTTTACGCAGACGGTAAAGCTTGGCTTCACAAGACGAATTACCTTTCAGGGCCTTTCCAATAACCAAGTGGGGAGGCAGGAGCCATTTTTAATCCTTACTGTCAAGCGTCCAGGTAGAGAGCGTTAAGAAATACAGTAATTCCACCACCACCCCTCTGAATGAGTTAAAAAGGGGAAACACCTGCAGCAGAGTCGTGCAGCCAACACCGGGAGATTTTGAAAGCAGGCTCCTCCTGGCATTAGGGAGTGTAAGGAACACAGTGCTTGACGAGGCTTCCTGTGTCTAGAAAGACATCCAGTGCAGTTTTTGGATTTGTTTTTTCCCCAGCAGGATCTGCAAGTGTAGGTAAAAGGGACATATCACATGAATACACATCTAGCTGCCTGATACTGAATCAGACGCTGGTCCATCAAGGTCATTATTGTATACTCACACAGGCAGCATTTCTCCGGGGTTTCAGGCAGAGGTCTTTTGCACCACCTGCTAACTGGCCCTTTTAACTGGAGATGCCTGGGACTGACAAGCTCGAGCATGTCCAGAAGAGGGCAACCAGGATGGTGAGAGGGTTTGAATCCAAGTCTTATGAGGAAAGGCTGAAAGAGTTGGGTATGTTTAGCCTGGGAAAGAGAAGGCTTAGAGGGGGCGTGATTGCAGTCTTCAAATATTTGAAGGGCTGTTACGTAGAAGATGGAGTGGATCTATTCTCTCTTGCTCCGGATTGCAAGGCTAGATCTAATGGGTGGAAATTACAAAGGAGTCGTTACCGGCTAACTATCAGGAGAAACTTCCTAACTGTAAGAGTGATTGAGCAGTGGAACAGGCTGACTCGGGAGGTGGTGGATGCTCCTTTGCTGGACGTTTTCAAGCGGAGGCTGGACAACCATCTTTCGGGTATGTTGTAGGGCTATCTTTCGGCTATGCTCCTGCAGAGTGCAGGGGGTTGGACTAGATGACCTGCAAGGTCCCTTCCAACTCTAACATTCTATGATTCTATTCTGTGAATCTGGGACTTCTTGCATGTCAGGCAATTGCTCCGTGATAAGAGGCACAACCCCTCCCCAGTTGAAGAAGAAGGCATATTTGTTTACTGGGGTGGTTATTGGCCCTATCAGTTCTATGCTGCATATATATTTTACTGATTTATTTACTTCCTTTGTACCCTGCCTTCCTGTCCCGGTGAGAAAGGCAGACTATAACAACATCAACACAACAACAGTCCACGTAATGCATTCTTTTAGGACTAGCTACGATAACACAAACCCGCGCACAAGCTTTAAAGTGCACCAGAACTCTTCCTCGGGCTTGATGTTACAGAATTTAAAAAACTAGAAGTAGGGGTGGGGAGAAAAAAATTACTCCTGGCCACAATTTTAAAGGGATTCTTTAACCAACATGTCAGTGTTAAATGTGGGGGCAGGTCCATATGCGTTGGTGCCGTTGACGTAAGCTCGGTGAAGTTCCTCTGAACAAGAGAGAAAGCAAATGGTGTTTCTCCATTGGACAAAAGGAAGACCTGCTGTATTTATTTTAGAGAATAAAACCAGGGAACTCTTATGGGTGGTTTCCTAATTGCAGATCAATGATACAGGCACAGCTCATTGGCGCTCGGGAGCTAAGGAGGGTCATTCGTGGTCAGTACTTGGATGCGAAACCACCAAGGAAGACTGGGGTTGCAACGTGGTGGAACACAATGGCAAGCCACCTCTGAACATCTCTTGCCTGGAACGCCCTGTAGGTTCACTGTGAGTCAGTTGTGACTCGATGGCATGTTCTTCTTCTATAAAGTGAACATAGAACATGGAGAGGGCTTGGCCCGGCGGAAGAACACATGCCTGGAGGTGGTTCCTGGTTCATTTCTTGGCTTCTGCAGTTTAAATGACCCTCAGAGAGCAAGAGCTGGGAACTTGGAGAGCCAGAGAAAAGTGAGATGGCTCAGTGGCCAGACTTGTAAGGCAGATCCATTGTATGCATGTTGAATAAATGAAGCTGCTTCATTCATACAGAACCAGTTTGGTGCAGTGGTCAAGTGCGCAGACTCTAATCTGGGAGAACCGGGTTTGATTTCCCCACTCCTCCACTTGCAGCTGCTGGATGACCTTGGGCAAGCCGTAGTTCGGTCAGAGCTGTTCTCTCAAGGACAGTTATCTCAGAGCTCTCTCAGCCCCACCTACCTCACAAGGTATCTGTTGTGGGGAGGGGAAGGGAAAGGAGATTGTAAGCTGCTCTGAAACTCTTGAGTGAAGGGCGGGGTATAAATCCAGTCTCCTCCTCCTCCTTCTGCTTATACTGACTCAGGCCCTTGGTCCATCGAGGTCAGTAGTGTCCGCTCAGACTGGCAGCCGCTCCCCATGGTCTCAGACAGAGGCCTTTCCCATCACCTACTGCCTGGCCAGATTAACAGGAGGCACCAGGGATGGAACCTGCGACCTTCTAGCAATGCCGAGCAAATGCTCCACCACTGAGCCACAGCCCTTCCCAAAGCTCCATGTGCCATCTTAAATCGTTCCTGTTTGAGTTTTCTCCACATAGAGCTTTGTCCGCTGGACTAAGAAGCAGAAAAATCATCGCAGTGCTTTTATTAGTCACCTGAAGTAATTTCACATGTATTCCGGCTGAGTGTTCAGCACTTGTTTCCTCATTTTCATGTACCAGTTTCCTCACTTTCTTGCTCCCGTTCTTTCTTCCCTCTCACATGACTTTTCACGGTTAATATTATTTCAGATTAGCGGGGGTTTTCCCCCTCCCACCTCTGACTCATAATCTGTGACACAGGATGTGAGGACCTGAGAAATGACTTAAATGAGTTATCCCCCCCCCCTTTTTAGTTTCGACAAACAGAATTTAGATGATCTCATCTCAGTCTAGGAATTCCAGTCATGGGCCATTACCATAGAGAATTGAATTAAAACGCATGCATTGAACCAAGCGATCGCTTTTTCCCCCCCCTATGAAGAATGTATTATCGTCCTTTTAATGATTTTATAAAATTATGAGGCTGCTTATAATGAAAGGATCTCTGCAGCTTGATCAGCGTAGCTGGTAACTGATTTACAATTAGCCCCAAGTCCCCTCGCAAAATGCCCTAATTTAATGTCCTAGTTCTTATGTGTCCCCAACTACCCCAGTCATGAGCAGCTTTTGTAGACTTCAAAAGAAAAGAAGTAATCCTGAATAGATGAGCTGCAGTGTTAACCTCTCCTCTTGTCAGGATCCTCTTGGAATCTCGATGCATACCTTACGGTTTGAACTTCCATCCTGTGTATTTCAACTCCAGTGAGCGTCACTGGAGACAGACTTGCTGTTTGCGTGGTCCACTCATTTGCCTTGGCTAAATGTTGCTTGGGATGGGCGTTGGCCTGTTTCAACTCTTTATTCCCCCTCTTAGCTTTCCCTTTGAAACCTCATTCGGAACTGTTCAAGAAATGTCAGGATCCAGTGGTAAGAGCAGGTGCACAGTATGTCCTGGGTTCAATCCTAGCTATCCCTATGAAAAGAATTTGAGATAAGAGGGCTGGGAAACCTTGATATCTCT